TACATGGCTTCTCGATCATATACAACCACCCCTGCCCTCCCAAGCCCTCTAGGATGTGATACTCTGGCTGCTGCTGTGTGTGCAGAGAGTAATGCAAATAATGTTGAATGTTATTCTCACTCCCCCAGAGAAAGGGAATGTTGAAGAGTCGAGCTAAACTAGGAATGCTAACCAACGTCTGCATGGAGAATGGTTAGGAACTGTGCGAGCAGGACATTTTGGACACTGAATGGATCTTTAGTTTCTTGTTGGCAAATATTTAGAAGTGCACCCCAAACAAAGTCCCCTTTGAGAGCTAGATGAAAATCTGGGAAAATCTCACTGTATCTCCAACATTGCCTGAACTCATGTTCTGGTCTTCCTTTATAACCTTCCAGATGAGGGGCCTTATTAAACCTGGACAGAGTGGGAAGGAGAGGCCACTACCTCATCACCACCTGTTGATCTGCTTAATTCAGGTCAAAGTCAGCCCCCCACCCCCACTTCTTTCCCTCTCTCTCTCTCTCTTTTTGGTTTGAACTGTTCACATAAATGCCCTTATTATTCTGGCAGAGGGAGAGAGCTTGAACCACAATATATTATAATGCATTTAACTTACACTTGGAATGTGCCATCTAGGGGGCAAAATGTGAAAGCAAAGATCTCACGATGCCTCTTTATACCCTGGAAGAAATCATCTATTTTTGCTTCGTTGTACAGACATAATTAAGAGGTAAACATTCAGACAATGAATTTCTAAAAGTGCGTGGTTCAATCATGGAGGAAAGAGTCATAAAAAATTGTCACATCATTTCTCCAGGCTCTCAGCAGCTCTGATGGGGAAACAGACCCTCCCAAGGCAAACAGGTCACCAGCTTTTCACCTGAGAGAGTCTTCACAACATGCAGACATTCGGCCTAAAAGTCCACGAAACAGGGACATTTCCCCAGCCTGGAGTTGTATTTGTTTGTCTGGAGTCACAGCCTCCTTGTCACTTTCATGCACATGTACAAACCACACACAAAGGGGCCCCCAAACAGGTGCACCATGCTTCCTAATTCTATGGTTCAGTGGTAGGTGTTGTTGCCATGTATGTGGCTTCAACTAGTTTCACCTGCTCACCCTGCTGTAACCCAGCCACACCCCTGACTGAGACCCAAGGAACCAGGACACAGCCCCATTCCTGAGGCTTCTCAATGAGCTCCAAGCGATGAGCTAATGTGAAATGTCCTGGCCTCACCTATGTTCTCCCTGACTCTCTGTCCAGAGTTCCAGCTCCTGCTGATCCTGTACCTGCCTTCCCCTGGGGTTCAGAGCCCACTCGGAGCCTTGTTCCAGTGTCATAGAATCAGGCTTTGCCCCGCACCCCAACATCACAGAAAGGGAATATGCTATTGGGCGAGATGAGGCTGCCAGAATCCAAATCCATCACCCTGGTTCTTGGGCTCTGTGTAAACTAAACTTATGGCTGATTTTGTTGACCTGTTTGGATAACCTTTATGCTTTTATGGAATGGGAATGACAACTCCAAGAAGGTCCTTCCTAAGACTTGTCCTTACTTCCTAGAAGCAGCAAATATGTCCTGTCATGGCAGTGGCCTTCATCCCACTGTCTCCTTTTTCAGGATGGGTCTAGGCCAGGCCCTCAGCTCAGCAAATCTAGGAAGGTTATGAGGGTGCAAGGGAAGACAGCAGTAACCTAGCTATGGTAAGAACAGGAAGTTCTCACATACTCCTGCTCGCGGCACTTCCCACTAGAGCTCTTGGAAAAGGTACAGTCAACTCTAAGTTTGGGCCACTGTCTCCTTATCTAAAAGAAGTTTGCTTTTTAGGACTTTTAACCATATTAGATAATCAAGAACGTGGACTTTCCATGGCACTAGCAATGCCTGTGGCTGTATAACTCATGATCTACTTGGAAGAGAGAGTGGATCCCACCATTTCCAAAGGACTTTTGGAACAAGGGTTCATTATCCATTCAAGTCCATTCTGTGACTTGGGACCAACAAGTACACAACAAGCAACAAGGGCTAGAGGGCTCCCTTTTTTTTTTTTTTAAAAAAAAAATTGAACGTTGACTTATAAAACATGGTATCGACTAGAGAATTTCTCACCTTTATAAGAGTGGAGTTGGCAATGAATATAAACCATCACGGCCTTTGAAGTCCAAGACCAGTTACTCTGATTCAGTCCTCAAACTTGTTACTCATTAGAAATTTAAAAGGAGACCCTGCCCCAGATTTCCTCTTTTTGATATAGCTAAGACAGAATTTTCTCACTGATAAATCCAGAAGAGAGGAAACCCAAAGACTCAGATCAAGGGCCAGGGTAATGACAGTTTAAAGATCCAGGAGGAAGTTGGTCTGAGGCCCAGGGCTGCCTCTTCTGAACTCGTTGGGTATGGCTGGCAGCCCAGAGCAGACATGTCAGTCCTACCTGACATCTCCATCCCCTTCTGACTCCTTCCAGAACTGATTCATTTGGGAACCAACTCTGCTGAGATCGTGGATTTAGCATTGCTCACAATCTCCCAACACCTACACCGAGCTACTTAGTTTCTGCTGTTGCTGCAATATTTCTGAATAAATTTAAAAAAGATAAGCTTCCTTGAGTGCTTTTCAGGAGCTGGGAGACTTTTTTTTTTTAAACAGTGTAAGGCTTTCTGAATACCTTTTCTTCTAAGTCTCTCTGGGTAACACTTCCCTCCACTGTTCCAAGCTCAGTCTAGGAAGAAAGAGCCAAGTCTCAGTGGAAGTGAAGCTTGGAGGCATCTCTGTAGGCCAAGGTCAGACCACAAGTCTGCTCTGCAGCAGCAAGCCAGCTTCTTGTTAGTGTTTTCTTTTTTTTTAATATATTTTTTTAAGATTTATTTATTATTTTTATACAAGAGCTGGGGTACAGGCCAGTGGCAGAGGAGGGTGAGAAGATTCACCAGAGACAGAGTGGGGAACAGAACAGGCAGATTGACTGAAATACACTGCTGAGGGGAGCAGCGGGTGAGACAGGAGAGGTCTGCTGCGCCATGTGGGAATCTCCCTGGCTGGCCGGGATCGAACCCGAGCTGCAGAGGCTGCGGACAGCTTCACAGCACTGCACTCAACCCGCTGCACCACCGGGGAGGCCCGCTTCTTGTTAGCTTTGCTCCTAAGGTCCTCTATTTGTAGCAAACACCTTTAAGGTGAGAATCACCCTGTCTCTGTGTTTGGCAGGTGAGTTTCTAAGCCAGTCTTTACCAAATGTGGAAATGTCCCTTGCAAATAATCTAGTGTGAACAAACAGAGTTGACCAGAACTGGAGATTTAACGCCCCTGCAGCTGCTGCGGGGTATATCTATGACTTGGAACCAAAGTTCACGCTGCTCTTTACAAATGGCAGCTGCTGCCCGGCCTTCCCTACCAGTCCCCCTAGGGCCCTCCAGCTGCCGCCCTGATAGGCAGAGAAGGAAGGGAGCGCTGAGCTCAGGTCTTTTTATCTCCTGAAAGCAAATGTGAAAATCCTTTTCACTCTGCCCCTTTTGCCCCCCAGGGATTCTGAATAGAAGCCTGGTGGGGCTGTGGTCATTTTTCAGGCGTCCTGCTAAGAATAAGGCGGTGCTAGAGCATGTTATTCCGAGATCCCCTGCAGGCTTCCACCAAGTTCCCCGAGTATCATCCATGCCGCAGGGGAATCGCACACACAGAAATTAATAAATAAACAATTTCAAAAGACACAAAAGCTGCATGCTCTAAAACAGGACGAGTGTTAGCCTCTTGGAGAAACCTACGGACATTAACAAGAGCACAACTAGACTAGGGTCAGTGTGGTTAGGGCCCAGACAGTCTCATCTACTTCAGTCTCTAGGGGACAAAAAAAGGACTGGAACTAAATTAAGAACTAGGACTAGCAGATGTTAACGCTCTAGAAACAGGTAATGAGGTATGAAGAGGCACTTACGTGGAAGAGGGCTATCTGCATTTCCCATGGATGGAACACAGACGAAAAAAGACAAGAGACAGAGCCAAGAAAAAAAATAAGATGTAAAGAAATGAATAGGATCCGCAGAGCACACAGAGCTGGAAACTCAAATTATCATATTACTTCAGATCCAGAAAGAAGCAATTCCTGTAGAAGGAAGATGAAACCGGCTTTCTATCTGGGAAGAGGTAAGGGGATCACTTTTCAGGCTCCTGGCTTCAAAGAGAAGGAAGCGAAGTCTCCCTCCATGTGCTTTTTAATTCCAGGAAGCAGAGTAGGTCCCAGGAGCCCTGACCACCCAAGAAGCCTGGTTCAACAGCATTTTCACCAGCTGCGTGGACTCAACATCCTCCCACGATGTTGCGAGTTAAAACACAGGGCTGTGGAGGGATATTAGTAGAGTGGGGCTCGCCCAGCGCCTGGCTGTGGGTGGCAAGAGGGAGACAGTGCAGCAGGCATAGTTTAAGGATGGAGGGAGTGATGGAGGAAAACACAGATACGCAGTCCTGCAAGGCCTGAGGGAGGGGGCACCGTGTTCTTGCAGTGGGAAGGGGAGGGGGAGCAGGAAAGGCCAGGCCACAGCCTTCCTTTTCCCTTTGCTCTTTGGGGTTTTGCTCCTGCTTATCTATCCTACAGCAGACTCCATATTTCTGGACCTGAATATCTCTGCTGCATCAAAAGTCCCCCAACTAATTATGTGAACTGTCACTGTCTTCACCCCTGCTTCATGTCACAAGGTGCTTAGGGCCTTCGTGACCTATATCAAACAGCAAACATCCCAAATCCCTCCACCACACACTGCTGTGTTTCCCCCCGTTCCCATTCATCACGTCCCCCTGCCTCCCTGCTGTTACCCTGACAAGCTGGCCCAGCGACTGTGATGGTGGCACCAAGGCCTTCAAGAAAAAGGCTGAAGGGCTTGGGTATCAGCCATCACTGAGGTCAGACAAGGGGCTCTGAGACAAAAAGCTGCTGTCTGAACGTGGACTGGGCCAGCTCAGGGTCCCCCACTGGCCCCAGGAGAAGAAGGTGGGCAGGGGAAGAGGCAGAGCGACTGGCTTTACTTACGGACTGGCTGCGTCTTGAACTCTGAGGCCGCGCTGATCTCGCCCAGACCCTTGCCGTTGAGGGCTGCCAGGCGCACCGCATACGTGGTCTCAGGCTTCAGGCCCACGATGGTGACGATGCCCTCCATGCTGGCTGTTGTGAGAACATGGGAAGGATGGCAAAAGATGAAAAGCCTACTGGTAAGTGGGATAGCCACGGCGGCAGGTCCCCCCCAATTAAACAGAACTGCCATGTGATGTAGCAACTCCACTTGTACACAAAACCAGTAGGAGCTGGGACCTGAGAGGCTGTATGTGTGTACCCCTGCTCACGCCAGACTGTTCCCAGTAGCCCCAGGCGAAACTAGTATTGATCAGTGAGTGGATAAACAGAATGGGGTATGTATGCACCATGGAAGATTACTAAGAGGGATCTGTCACATGCAACCTCAAAGGTGAACCTTGAGGACATGACACTAAGTGAAATAAACTGGACTTCCAGGACAAACACGGTGTAACTTCACTTATATGAAGTACTTAGAAGAGTCATTTGCAGAGAAAGAAAGTAGAATGGGGAACCTCCCTGGTGGTGCAAGGGGTTAAGTCTCAGCACTATGAAGCGATCCACAGCCACGGCAGCACAAGTTTGATCCCCGGCTAGGTTGCTGACCCACATGGTGCAGCAGACCTCTCCTTGTCCGCTACTGCCCTCAGCAGTGTATTTCGTCAGTCTGCCTGTTCTGTTCCCCACTCTGTCTCTGGGGAATCCTCTCACCCTCCACCCCCCACACCTCTGGCCTGTACTACCCCAGTTTTTGTATGCATAAATATATAAATCTCAAAAAAAAAAAAAAAGAAAATAGAATGGGGTTGCTAGGGGTGCAGGAAACGGGGGATTATCGCTTAGTAGGTACTGAGCTTAGGATGATGAAGCAGTTGTGAACATGGATGGTGTGGTGATGGTTGTATAACCTGTATGCCAACTATCTGGCCACTCAAAAATGATTAAAAAGATCAATTTTATGTGATGTATCTTTTACCAAAATTTAAAAAATAATGAGAAGTGATGTTAATAAAAAAAAAAAAAAAAGTCTGTGGATGGATTGTGACATGGGACCATCACAGAGTTGGCATGAGGATTCAGAGGGACACTAGGAAGCGTCATCAGCTCTAATCCTGATGACACAGAAATTTCACCTCCCACTACTCCATTCCCCCTCAAATGCCGAATGTGTGTGATGGACACATTCTGGGTGGAGGAACTCTCAGAAGCTGCTTTTGGGTGGTGTCTGAATGGAGGGGATGTGGTGCCCTAGTCCATTCCTCATTCTATTCTCGACTCCACAAATCAGGCCAGGATTAAACATGCCTATAGAAACAGAGCATACTTCACCGTGTTGTTCTAATTAAACCTAAAATGGAGAGCTAGACAAAAATATGCTCAGGCCTCTGGGCAAAGTGGTCTGGGCTCAGAATCTTCAAACTGTAGTCATCCAAGTGTCATTTTTAAAATCTTTAGTTTGGAAACATATCACAGGGTCAGCCTTGCCTTGCTGGCTCTGCTTATTTGGCTAACGGCATAATTACATGGGCCGACTGAGCAGGACTGGACAGCGACAATGGAGAGCCTGCAGCCTCACCCACACGTACGGGCATGGCGGGCTGGACCCGTCTGGCTGTGCTTGGCACTCAGCAGCGCTTCTGCCTGCAGTGTAGCTGAGATGACATCACCATCCTGGCAGGGTGATGAGAACCAGGTCTGCAAAAGACCCACCAACCTTCACGACATGGGTCCTGCCCTAATTCTAGAGGGGTAGGTTATGGGCAGCACAGGAACAGAGCAAGGATGGCAGGCAAGGGCATCTGGCACCCTCAGGAGGTGAGAGTGGTGCTCCCCCTATCTGAATGGACAGACAGGGTGCCAGGATCTGGTAAATTGGGGGGAGCATGCCCCCCTGACACTGAGTAACCCAAGGTTGTAAAGGAAACAATGGCTGTTGCTTACTTACCTTCTTTGGCATCGTACCACTTGGAATGCCACACCTCCTCACCCATAGCTCTCCACTCAGCCTTGTACTTGAGGATGGGCACCCCACCTGTGGCCTCTGGCTCATCAAACTGCACCTGTGCTGTGCTGGAGTATGGCTCCACCTGGTCGATGGATGGTGAGGATGGCGTGTCTGTGGGGAGGGCACATCCAGCAACCCAGGTGAGTCCATGACCCAAGTCCCAGTCACAAAGTCCACCTCTCTCATTCTTTGCTCATTCATGGACATCTTGTCACTGTATCCTGTCCTCCAGGCCCACCTCACCCCAATTCCCCTCCAACACACCCTGTGCCCAGATCCTCACATCTCCACTGACCCTCTGCTTTGCTAAGCCCGACCCTTTCTTCTTACTCTGCTGGCATTACCTTGGGACACAAAATAGGTCAGAAAGGTGTGGAAGCAGCTGTATGGGGTGCTCACCTGCTTGAACTAGGATGAATTCCAAAGATTCCTGTCCAATGCGGTTTACTGCAGTGCAATTATAGTTTCCAAAGTCATTTTCAGAGTCTGGGGTCACCTTTAGAAAAAGAGAGCATTTGGGTTAGTGTCCCTTGGATGCCCACAGATCCTGGATTGGCTACATTAGTGAAGAAGAGAATCAACAACCCAAGAGCCATTATCTCCAGCCCAGCCTTAAGCCAGAGAGAATAAGAAGGGGCCCGTGGGAGAGGCACCCTCTTCCAGCCACTGGGGGCTGGGCTGACATCCCCTGCTCAGGAATGCAAGAGAAGCAACAGTTATTTCAGCTGCCTCCAGGCACCTATCCACAATCAAACCTTGCATTTCCCACCCTGCCCCTGCCTCCACCCAACTCACCTCCAGATAGCTGGCGGAGGGTGTGTTGTAGATCTTGATATTGCTGTAGTTAGAGCTTGGCAGCAGCTGACCATCTCGGAACCACGAGATTGTGGCACTGGGGTAGGCAAAGACCTCGCAGGTGATGTTTACCTGGTTCCCCTCCCAGGTATAGACGGCCACGGGGCCCTGCAGCTTGGGGGCATCTGCAAGGAACGACACTGGCTGTCAGGAAGACTGTCACTGTTCTGTCTCCTAGCACTGGACAGTGTGGGTGTGTCCCAAAGTGGAGCTCGTATCTGGGTACAGTGAGGTCAGGGTGTAGCAGAGGCCAGGGGAGTGGAGGCTGGGGAGAGCCGAGGGTGGGATACAGTGGAGGAGGGATATAGAGGTGGGTAGGGTAGAAGCTGGATATTGTGGCAGGCCTGTGAGTTGCACAGGGGATGTAAGGGCATGTGGGCTTGTAAGAAGCCTGGGGATGGTATAAGGGTGTGACTTGAGATGCAGTTCAGGGGGGCCTAGAGCCAGTTGCCATGAGGGGTGTGCGCAGCACTCACAGGGTGCAGCTCAGGTCCCAGGTGCTGTTTTCCTGTTTCATCCCACCCTGCACAGTCCCTCCCTCCCTTATCTTTCCACAGGTGGTCCTCACATTGCACTTCCAGGTACATGGACTGGGAGTCCTGGCCGATGGTGTTGCTGGCGGTACAGATGTATTCTCCAGCGTCTGTGTACTGGATGCTCTTCAGGGTCAGGGACGACACGCGGGCATGGCTGCGGACCACCATGTGCCCATCCAGAGTCTGCCAGGAGGGAAGAGAGCGCATCAGAGCCTGAGGCAGAGCTGGGCCAGCAGACCAGGCCATTGCTGGTCTGGGACCTGTCTCACATCCTCTGTCCTCTCTGTGCCAATGTCTAAGTTTCACTTTAAGCACCTACTAATGTGGGGGATTCTGGAAAGCACCATGGAAAAGTGGGTGTATCCAAAACAGAAACTGGGACTCAGCTGGTGTCAAACAGCCTGGACTATGTGCCAAGACTGGTTTGGGGTGAGGACAACCAAGGCCCCCCAAGACGATTTTATTTTGCATGTCTAAAATGGAAGCAAAAGCCCTTGCCAGCGGGTATTCCAGCAGCAGCTGTCTTGCTGGTGAGGTTCCGGGAAACCTGCACTCCCCATGCTCGAGCCCTCGGCAGCTTGCCTATCTGCCAGTCCGCGGTGCATGCACATGTAAAGGGAGATCTACTCGTGCCAATTATAAGAAATTATACAAGAAACCCATATTTGTGCAGATGCCTCACTTTCCTGGATGCTTGAAAGCAAAATCATTTCATTAAAAAAAAAAAAAAATCAGACAACTCAGTGCTCGGGAGCTTTTGAGCTGGGAGGGAGGGTAAGTGAATCCCTCTCCAGGGACAGTGGCACAATGTCTCAGGCAGGTCTGGGATCTGTGATGCCACAGTCACCGCCGCTTGTAGCCCTCGATGCTATAATTGGCTTCCTGGGTCTCTGGAATTATGATAATTGGCCAAAAAGGGAATAAGTTTATGGTCCCTAGGCGGTGGATACTAGAATATTTCCAAGGTATTTCCTTTCACTCTAAGGAAAATGGTTACTGGTGTAAGGGAAGCCCGGGCAAAGGCTTAGTTCAGCCCCTCCAGCAAGCTAGTGATCAAGGAGTCTTGCTCCTCCCAAGATGGACCACACCCTTATCTCCAGAATAGGACATTCCGAGAACAGCCAGGTGAGGGCTCTGCACCAGGCACCTGTCATCTCAGGGCCTATAAAGAAGGAAAGAACACTTGGCTTCAGGTTCTTTCGACATGAGGTTCAGAAGCTGGAACCCCAGAGGTGCAAAGTTATCCAGTAGCCCATCTGGGAAGCTCAAAAGTGAGGTGCCACTGGCCACATGAGCAGTCTCGGGAGAACCATCAGAAGGATTCCCTTTTACCAACACAGACAGACTTAATCCACGTCAGCCGCTGAAGCCCCGTCACGTTTCCTATCTGAAGACTACAACACAGTGCTTGGTAGGGGACAGAAGAGCTGAGCAGGGCCACCCGCTTGCCTCTCTGGTCTGATGCCTCTCTTGGCTCCTGTCTGGACTATGAGTTTGGGAGAACTGGCTGAGAAGCTGCACTCAGGAGATGCTGCATGTCAAAGAGAGGTGACAACAGACAGGTGTAGAGCACTGGGCTAGAAATCCTAGAGACAGCCGGTTTGCTGGATACCTTGAAGGCTGACTGGGCCATGGCAACACACCCCGGTGCCAATCAAAATCTTTCCCCATCAGTCTAAGCTGATAGCAGAGAGTGTGAAGCCATTCATGCTGGGGTGACTGCCTTGTCACCCCTATTTGTTCCAAGACAGCAAGATGAAGGCAGAGGGGATTCTGTCTTTCTGGTCATCTCAGTGAGCACATAGGTTCAGTCACAGTGACCAACTATGACTCTGTCTTAGACAAAGATCAAATGTGTCCTGGAACTGCCTAGCACAAACATGAAAAACGGACCAGAATCTTTGGGAATTCAAGAGAACATTTCCAAAAGGAAGAGACAGTGCTGCAAAGGATGCTAAAAGTCAGGTAGGGTAAGAATAACAACAAAGCAGGGCCTGGGCAGTCTTTACTGAGAATAATCTAGAAAATGACTAGAGACATAGTCATATTGATGGTCATTCTTATTTTATTTCTCCTCTTATCTAAGTTTCTCTATGGGGAATTTTTTTTTTCATTGAGTGTCAACAGTGCTTTATAGAGAATTCTTGTTTTGGGGCAAATTTCAGGACAGGGTTGATGATGGATTATTTGCCAGGTGCCCAGTTCTCCCTCAGAGAGGAAGCGGAAAGGCGGCATCCAATGTGACTGGACAATCTCTCTCTGAAATGTTTTACTTGGGGATCAGGTCAAAGCCAGGGAGTACACCTACAAGCCATCCAGGTAAAAAACCACGCTGATAGTTCAGGCAGCAGAGAGGAAGTGCATGCATGAACTCTGGCTAAGAATGAAAAGATCATTATGGGGAAAAGACCTCGTTTCATAAAAAAAGCATGAAGGGCAATTATAATGATTCTCATCAAAACCTTTGTGTCTCCCTGCTTCCAGGTAAAAGTGCTAAGGCTTTCAGAGCTTACAGAATGAAACTGGGTGTCTTTTGAACTCATCTGGACTTAAGGTCTTCATCTCTGAATGAGATGAATAGGATGGAATGGAACTTTTGAGGCCCCAGGCCAGCACTCACTTGAAAGTCAATTATGTCCAGAGTAAGATACTCAAGATAAGGACACTTCTGGAAAACGAGTGAGGTGTCTGCTTTCCTGGAAGTAAACCTATAACTTCTACTTATAATAATTCTCTTAACATCTCCTTACTGCGCCTTAATAAATCTCCGCTCCTCCTCTCACCAGGTCTAATATCAGAATGACAGAGGAAGATGTACAAGGCCAAGCAGAATGAGATCTGTAGCTGCTCAGGAGTGGCTGATAATTAACTCTTCTTTTCTCCCGTCCCCAATCCCAATGGGTCTGTGACAATAAAACACCCAGCCTGTGACAGCAACAAGAGTTCCTGTGCCATAGGACGCAAGCATTTCAGCAAGGATATTCTCTCACCTACAGTTCCTAAGACACGGAGGGAGGGATGATGCAAAGAACGCTTATAATGAGCTAGCTCTGTCGATTGTGGTGTGTTCACGTGCGGAAACTAGGAAACTAAGATCAGTGCCTGGGGGCAGGCAGTCAAGTTTTAAATATTAAACAGCATTAAATATTTATAACCATGACCTGAACACATGAGTTATGTGTTCTGAATAATTATCATTTCTGAAAGACTAAGAGAATAGGTTGATCTAATTAAAATACAGTCTACAGGATTGCCAGAATCTGCATTCAGAGTATCACAATATCAGGGTTTCATTTGGAGAAGAGACAAAAGTTACTTTTTGAGAAAGTACTTGTAGATTATATTCTTGAGCCTCCTATCTAGAATATAGTGGATTTTATTTCACAATGTCACTTAATCACACAAAGTAGGTAAAAGACAATAGAAGTGATCATGAATAGGGTCTAGAGGGTATAGCAATTAAAATCTAAAGGGTAATCCTTAGCTTCAGTTTTCAAACTAAGTCCTACATAAGCCAAACTGAAGCAAGTAGTCAGAAAATTTCAAATGCAAAATGTTACTGATTAAAAAAAAACAGAATAAATTGTGACAAATCATTCTAGTCTCATAAATTTAATGCTTTATAAGAGTAACGCAGATATGTTTAGCAATTTGGGAAAAGTGAGAGATGTCATTTGCATTGCTTTGAGATGAAATGTCATGTGATAATTTACCAAGACCAATCATTATAAAATAATCGAGCAACAAGATGAGTTGAGCTGGAAAGCAGAGGACTAAGTGGGTTTTTACATCACTGACTCTGTGACTTTATGATGCAAAGCCACATCAACCAGGTGAAAGTCAAAAATTTCATCATTTCAGAATGCCTGGCCTGGGAATTGGGGCGATTCATTTCTATAAGTATAATGACCCAGAGGTGATTTTACCAGTACCAGTAAGAGAATAGGATCTAGTTTTAGGAAATAATAAGGATTTATTCATCCACTCCCAACACAGCTTGCTTGCTCATCCTAGAATGACACTATTGCTAAGTAACATCTACCTCTATTGACCTATTCTTTAATCAAACTAAATGACCAATTAGTTTAGCATGTCCAGTTATTAAACTGTAATGGTGAGTTAACTGTAATGCTTTCAAAACTAAAGACTGGCTAGTGGCCGGGTAAGCTATACCTCTTGCTTCTCTGGTCGAGTCCACGAAGCCTGGAGAGAACAAGATATAAAACACAACAAGAAAGCAGTAAAATTTTACAACATGTTGCTTTAGAGAATTGATGTATCACACTGCATTCCGTGCACATGCAGCATCTTTTTAATTCAGAACTCTTTCCAAGGCCCACTTTCAATGGTGTGTTTATCACCCAATTTAATTTAGGATTTAGCTTATGTTCAGCTTTTTCCCCCCCTTATGCACATTAAGATGCAGAATTCCAAGGTAAAGCCTTCCCTAATCTTTGGCAGACATATCTATGGATATCAGCAGACATGTTAGACTGCTTGTGCTCCACAACATCTTGAATATTCCTTATAATATCTGGTGACACTATTGCTTCTAATCATATAATCTAGAGCTATTTCTAGAGTAGGTTACCTCCTCTGGATTTTGCTTGACAGCTTATCACAAATATATGAATGCCATTTTGTACTCATGCATTTTATAAATCTTTGCATGCATCCTATTAAAAATAAAATTTTCATTTAAAAAAGGAACAAAGAAAGGGGTGAGAAGTATAAAGTCATTAAGACTAAGGGTCAGGAAGCTTTGAGGACACTAAGTTGTGTGCTGTGGCTGGGTGGCAGGCAGTTCTTATAGGAAGTGGTGTGCCCAGCTAGCACCTGCAGCAAGTGTGGCATTCATAAAGGAGTACGCCTGCTCAGCAATACAGAGTTTGGGTGTTTTCTTGCCCACATCTAGATTTCCTATATATCTGGCACTTAGGATTCTGCTCTGCTTACAGTTTTTCTTTCCTGTTTTTGTACTGGGAGTCAAAACCATCATACCTGCCCTACCTTCTTCTTTTTATTAAATGGCTTAATTGCCTGATTGTCCCTGATGTTCAAATGGAAAAGGATAGAAAAGATGCCAGAGACACAGTAATGAAATCCAAGGAATGCAAATGAGTTAGCAAACATTTAGTAAGAGTCCACTAAATGCAAAGAGCTATCGTGAGAAATGAGGATGGAAATGTTGGATTATGCCACACCGTGCTGGAAGGAAGAAGTGAGACAGAGGAACATGCATAGACCAAAGTAACAGTGGGCCAACATGTCAAATGTGGTTGCCAATTCCACATCACTTAGAAGCTTGTCTGTCACATGCCAGGGCTGCATGAATCAAGATTTTTTGGGAGAGGTTATATCAAAATTTGTTAGGGCTATATAAAATAAAATAAAGCTGCTCATTTTTCAAATCTGATTTTTCTTGCATCTCTCCCAAATCACTATGACTCTGGCTTTAAGAATAAGAGGTTGCTAGTAACATGATGCGGTACTCTGATCTCCTACCTGTTTGCCAGGGGGAGTGACTGGCTAAGCCTTGACCCTGATACCTTGGTGAGGGTGTGGTCCATTTTAAGACCAGCCAATATGTACATATACACACATAAAGGGAAATCAGTATATGATTAGCAACGCTCCCAAAATTGTTAATTCCAGAGACTTTAATATTCACGTTTAATTATCTAACACACGAGTCTGCAGGAATATATATATAAACCCAAGAGAAGCATCCCTACACTTATCCTGAAGTATTTGTTCCCTGTTACACATTTGTCCACATCCTGGATAAGGCAGACTCTGATGGCTCAATGCAAGCACCTCTTTCAATGTTTGAAAGTGAGCACCTGGTTTGTATTGCATGAGGTATTCTTGGTGATTAAAAGCTCCAGGTTTCCAGAGAATCCAGAATTTCAAAAGATCCCTCTTATTTGTGGGATACTCTCTCAGTTCAAGATTCAGTGAAATGCTTTTCATCTTTTCTATTCATCTCTTCTGATCTCAATTCTTGGTCCCTCTCCTTTTCCTCAGACATGAAGGCTTCATATATGCCTTTCTTTACCTGTCATTTCAAAGGCATGGAGATGTTCAAGAAAGTCAAGAAAGTACACAATGGATTTGTTCTGCCAGAGATAAACTATGCAAATTATCACCCAGAAGTTTTACTCAAAATGTAAATGGTACCTGGAATTTAGCACTACTCACTCAAATACCTGGCAATATTTAAGACGAGTCTGGTAGGATGAGCAATGAAATGATGAAATGCACACACTTCTTTTGTGTGCCTCCAATATCACAATGCCTTCCACACACATTGATCAAATGGACTCCTTATGGTGTTCAACTATTTTTACTTTTGGTCAACATAAGAATGACTACTAAGAAATGGATTAACTTGTAGACAGATGACTTACCCTAATGGTCTTAATGACCCAAACTCAGCCCAGCTATTGGCTGATGAGTGAGCCCAACTCAACTTGCTGAAGCTCAGCAGACTGACTATAATCAGCCTCAAACAAGAGATTGAACTAAAGCTAGCAACACAGTCAAAGGCAAGGCATCACCTTTGGGCTTACTGTACTGGTTTTCACTTGCCTTTTGTCTTTTTTTAATGCAAAAAAAAAAATCAGTATTCTACCTGAAAGCTACTAACTATATGTCTATGGTGAAAAGCCTTTTCTCCCATGTTAAAAATGGTAATACTAGGCTCCACAAAGCAGTGAAGCAAATGACTGAGCTGCTTCCATTAGCTTATATTGTTACATAGCTTATGTTATTATAGTGGTGCTAATTTTACTAAAGGAACCATCGAATCTTCCAGGAAAGTTCTCAAAATTGAGAGAGAGCACTGTGGCACAAAGTGCCTGGCCTTTTGAGGCAGTGACCTGAAAGGAAGCCCCTGTTGCATTTTCAGGACTCTGTGCTTGACTGTCCCAGCCAACCTCTCTATCAGTGACTCCGACAAAGATACTTCAAATAAGTGCTCATTCAAGGTTGGAAGCAATGAATGATATGCAGAAGGCTACTGAATTACCTGTGCCTGGTCCTTGTGCATAGGATAGGGGTCACCAATGACTGCTAGACCTCATTACCTTTAATATATGTAAGTAAAATAGGGGGGTCCATGTGGGTTGAAGTATCTTGAACACAGGATTGTTCTGATGAAAGCTAGAGCTGACCGGTTGGACGGATGGACTACAAAGGTCATGCTCAAGCCAGGGAGTATCTGTACAGATGGCATTTTTGGTCATTGTAATGATTAGAGGTGGTTACCGGTAATTTAGGGGGAAGGGACTAGTGGTGCTAAATACATTGCAATGTACAGGACCATCCAGTGAAGGAAGAGTCTTCCCAAATTGCCTCAATGTCCCCATTGAGAAACTTCAGGTGGCCACAAACAAAGCACAATTATTAACAGAAATAGTTATAAAATTCAGCATGACTGGTTATGCAATCAATGGCATAAGAACAGCATAAGGGATATATGGCTTAAATGCAGTTCATATAAAAAAAGACGTGGGCATTTTAGTTGGCCACAAGCTCAATATGAGGTCACAGAAGGAGGAAACTGCTAAAGGGCTAATGCAAATTTAACTGCACTGCTGCGTTCAGATCAAGGGAGCAATAACCCCACAGAAGTCTGTGTTAGTTACCCTGGGCACTGCAGATTTTGAGGGGAGCACTACTAAATTGAAGCTATTCAGTCCAGTACAAGTAGGAAGGTAAAAGACGTGGGCACCACGACCTATATGGGAAACAGTGACAATGACTGGGCGTGCTAAAGGGGAAAAGAGTAGACTGAGCAGAGGAAAATGGAATAGCTACTTTAATGGCTCACATAAAACAGTGAGTGGCAGAGGTGGGAAGATCAGAGGCCAAGGGGCAAGGAGGGAGAACTTTGTGGTCATCAGCATTGGCCAACGGCCTTGAAAAATACTGACAGTCACCCTGCAGGCAGGGGCTGAGTGACTTCCTGGCAGATATGCTAGAAAAGGGTCCCAGGGGAGACAAGATAACCTCAAAGGGTGCCCTCCTTTCAACCTTCTATGATCCTGGCGTTTTATGTGATCTAATTCTTGGGATCCTTCTTTACCTTACCAGTTAGATACAATTGTTTATTCTCATCTCTTTAGTATATCATCCCACCGTTGCAAGGAAATGTTTCCTTCTATGTCTGTTTCAGCAAATAACCCTGATACCTTACTGTAAATAATGCAACTACAGACAGAAGAGAACATGACGGGCGGTTGCCAAAGTAAAAGTGAAATTTATTATCTGGAGTCCAACCGGCTCACAAATAAGAATCTTTGTTTGCTTAATTATTGGCTTTCACAGTATAGGATGGACATCATGCCTCTTTGATGTCAACATATAATTAATAGAAATGGCAACTTTTCTTAAACAGGGCTTCACTTAGGCAAATATGTTAATCTGGTGTCACACATCTGCCTCTAGAAAACAGGATAACTGTTCTCACAATCCTTGCTGTGACACTGATTCACTTGTGTTCCAGAAACATCAATTCAGGTAAACTTGAAGGCCGTCCATAGTAAACGGAACCATAATACCACCTACATGGCTGGTTTAAAAAATGATCTCAGATCAAGGCAGATGATCTACACCAAGAGCTGAATCACACAAAATGCAAGTCAGTCCTACTTGGCTTGATACAAGATCTTCATTCTTAATACTTGCAAGCATGAGTGTATATTGGTGCCTGGTTATTTGTTCTCATTCTGTAAAAATGAATTCACAGTTCTAAGCCAGAAGTGCCAACCTATTAAAGAACTCAAGGTAGGCACAAATCTTAATAACCCTCTGGTCTAGCTTGGCTGTTGAACTATTCCTAGAAAAGATACAGAATTTAAAAGCATCATTCATCTGAAATAGCTATTATTTCTGTCCTTTGCTGTAGGTCAAAGATACGCACTGGGTCATTCTGAACAAATCTACTCTCTAGCCTGACATAGAAAAATCCAAGCGGCCTTGTGGTTTAAGCCCTGAAATGTACATTCAATCCATGTAACACATGATGGGAGCTGAAATTTGAGCTGAGGGTTTAATCCCAATGTTGTTAAAGAAAGTATCTAAGTAAACATCACATTTCTTAATCCAGTTGTTTTTTCACAACATCAAGCAGCATATACGAGCTTCAAAAATACTTAGCAGTTCCTCAGTTGAGTTTTTGTTAAGTTGAATTCAACTCTGACAATAAAACTTGCAAAAAAGAAATAATAGGGCTTTTAGAACAACCAGTTCAGTTTCCCTTGATTTAGTTTTATTTTCTATTAATGGGACAGATATCAGTGCCTCACATGCAAACCCCAAATTTGGCTCTAGTATTTCACACGGTGTACTTTTGGTTTTATTTGAGTTTAACCTCTCCAGGGATTTCCTCCAGGCAGGGAGAAGAGTGAAGATCTATCATTTTTGACATTTTGGTCAATAAGCAATCCATTATAAATGTTCTTTAAGGCTAAGGCCATCACTTCTGAATAGGTGACAAAGCTTTGGCCAAGGAAAATGAAGCCCATTACTCCAGGATATACGAGATGAAATTGGAGAAGAGCCATAAGAGGGTTTAAGTTGCTTTAAAAACAAGTTGCTTCCTCCTCCTGCTTTTGGTGTACTCAGTAGCAAAGGGCTACAAGATGTGGGGTCACCTCAATATTTATGTTGTCAATAATAAAGATAGCCTTCCAGTGGCCTATAAATCTATTCACTTTAAATCTAAATCTTCCCAGGCATTTTAATTACCAGGAAGTTTGCTACAAAGTTCTCACGTGCTCAGTGAATATCTTCTAGAACCCAGTGTGATCATCCTCATCTAGAAACTGCCAATTATTTTTGCCTTCAGACAAAATGATATCCAGATGTGACCAAGAATACAGGCAGACACAAAGGCAACCAAGCTTTTGTGTGTGTATAGCATGAATATACAAAACACAGAAAAAGAAGTAACAGGCTCATTCTGATCCCTATTATGCTGGGAGAAATTTCCTTGGGTGCTCCTGGGATGATAATAATATCACCTGGTGCACCAGGATCCTGTTCCTTGAAGCTCCACAGCCCTGGGTTTGAAAATCAATACCCCCTTGTTCCCCAGAACACCTAACCTATTCATGCCCTCTGGCATTATACCCCTGCAAATCTAAGCAAGGAATTGTGCCCCTTCCGTTGCAAGGGGATGCTAGGCAGGCTACATTTGGGCAAAGTGGCAGGGGCACAGGACCTGGCTGTGGCCTCTGTTGTCCACATCCCATCTTTTGGCTCACCAAGGAGAACTGGGCATGGGGCAGACTCAATCCACTTGAATCTGCGTTCCACAGCCCTGAAACTCTTGGACAACATTATACCTTTTCTTCGTTGCTGATGTTTCGGGTAGAAGTTCTCCAGGTAATAGAAGGGATAGGGTCTCCTGAGGCTTCACAGGTGAGAGTGACCTGTTCCTCCAATTCCATGGCAGTCTGGTTCTCCACGTAAGTGATTTTGGGTTTTGCTGAAAAGGGAAAATGTTTCTATGAGTTGATCTGATTTTTAGTTTTCTGGGCTTAAATTATAATAGGTACCCATTCAACAAGGTTATCTGCTTCCTACATAGAGGGCCCTATTCTAGATACTGTAAGAGATAAAGATTTCAGCCCCTAAGGAGCTTCCAATAAAGTATGTGACAAGCTAAGTCATAGTAACAAGACAGCATCCTGGACAGTAGGGGTGCTAACGGCATGGGTGCAGGTCATGGAGCAGAGAAAAGAGGTTTCCCTGGCTGGACCTGCATGAGGGGTCAGTTTTTGGGTTGAGACAGGAGATTTCCAGTAGGCAGAATTTTGGGGGGGCAGAGAAACACAGTCATTCCAAATATAAAAATTGCCTGAGTAAAGGCAAAGAAGGAGAAACCTGTGAAGAGAGAGGGTAGCACAGAGAATGGTGTGTCCTGAGTCACGCGTTTGTGTCTCTAAGGAGAAGGAGCCTGTGCTGGACCCAGGCAGAGAGACTTATCCCCTGGGCAAGGTGCTTGCTGGAATGGCATCCTGTGGCTGCTGGAGGCCCACGGACAGGGCCTGATGAGAGCAATGAAATGATCATTTGTACTTCAAGAAGGTTAATCAGAAAAAATTCAAGATGATTTAGAATGGAGAAAACCTTGAGGTGGAAATCCAATTTGGAAGCTCTGGCAGTGTCCCAGGCGCGATGGATTGCAGTCCTGGATGCCATTCTCTCTGGGGAGCAAAAAGCACAAGGCTGCTTTGGGGGAGATGCTGCAGGAAGGTCGGATGGGAAGTAGCAGATGAATGGAAAGCAGGTGGGGGTAGCGAGAATCAAAAGAAGGAATGAGAAGGAGACCAAATGATGCTGAGATTCCTAATGAGTAGGAGAGTTGTATTAGCATTAACTCAATGTGGCGAGTAAGTTGTGGGGGGCTATGCAGTGGGCTGGGGGTGGGAGGGAGATGAGTTGAGATGAGTTCATTTTCCAAATGTTTTGGGTAATGCAAGAAAACACGAGCATTCAAAAGCTGAGTTAAATGTTAAAACATTAGAGAAAATTGAATTTTCCCAATTTAAAACAATTATACTCTGAAATTGCTAAACCTTCCATAGAAGAGAAAAGATAACACTGCACAAATGTAACTTATTTCACTAATGGAGAAAAAGGCCAGGCTAGATAAACAAACAAAAAATAAATAAATCAGAATTATGGATAATTTTTGAAAGAACTGCATTTCCTTTTTATTCAAATTCATACAGTAACCCAAGTAGGCTAATAAAGTACTGCCTGTATACATTCTCCAAATTGAGGCCCTTGATTCTGTTTTAATAAACTGAAAACAAAGAGCGATGCATTATCTGTAGCAAAATCCGTTTCTGTATAAAATTACCCACAGAGTTCAAATATTCTCCTGAAGTTAATCTGCACTAACAGCCTGTTAGCAAACCCTAATTTTCTGTTTTGATGGCCAGCACATAGGCAAGCTCAATTCAAAGTGGCCGAATGATCCCAGGCTTGAATTGATGGAATCCACACGAGAAAGGCTTTCCCATAGGAAGGCTTTGTGTCTCTCTTATATGATAAATGGACTTTCCAGGGAGGTCACAACTCATATTGGATGGAATCAGAGTAAAGTGCTGTTGGATAGGAGGTTTTGGAGATGTAAAATAAAAATGGAATTTCTATAGTGTTAAAACTCACTGCCTAAAAATTAAAAAGCAAAAACAATTCAGCCAAACAAAAGAATTCACTCAACTGAGCCTTGTCTGGGGGTCTGGAGGCCGTCAAGGAAGGTGAATTTCTGGTCTATTGAAACCTAGGCAGACACTGTGACCTGGCTGTGCTGACCCTGTTGTGCCCCTCAGCACACTGTCCCAGCAGCAACAGGCTAACAGGACGCAAAGGGACATGGAAGACATATACATATTTGGTCTTGGTGGTTCCATTTCCAGATAGTCACAAAGGGCACACAGCATAATCAAATCTTTAGAAAAGTACCAACTATATTCTTAGTAAAGGCATCATTAACAATGGCTGGTCTCGTATGGCCTACAGAGGAATAAAATCTGCAAAGAGCACAGACCTCTTATGGCTTTCAGAAGGGACGATAATTAGTATATAAAGGACATCTCTAGATTAGGGGCTGACTAATTGTGCCTGACCGGTTTCACTTTTTCCTACGAAAGGGATACATTCTAGCAGGCATCATTCTAGTTACCAGCTAGAAGCTCTTTTTAACTAAGTACTTAAAACCAAGGAGGTGAACTTCTCACTGGTGACTTAACCATCTCCACTGTCCAGAAACAATGTGATTGTCAGAACTTGCTGAAGGCTCAGAATGCAACCTGGGTATAGGATAGTGCTATCATTTATTGTCCAAAGTTGGGGCACTCTTAAGCATGAAAGGGGTAAGGTGAAAAATCATAGTAGGACAGTGGGCCCAATAGGCAAACAGGACCAGACGCATGGTCATGTCCTGCATATAGCATCTAGCGGGATCTCTCCAGGTTTTCTCCTTGAATGGGACTTGTACCATCTTAATTAACCTCTGCTGTGTACCCTTAACTCTGGGTCCCTATTCTATTCCCCACCTGCCACCATGGAGTATAAAGCTCAGATGGTTCTAGTGCACCCCTCCCCAAGGACAGCCTGTGAGCACAGGACCTTGTGAGTTTTCCAGGCAGCCTCTTCTCCTCTTCTAGAAGGTCTTCAGCTCTCCACCCTCTCACTGAGGACCAGGCTTAGCCCCTCTCATTCACCCCAGCCCTGGTTTCTGCAACCCTGGCACACTAAGGGCTCTAGCGCCCCTGTGTCCCTGATTGAAGAGGTTGGCTGTAGCCAGGGTGCCTTCCTTCAGGCCCCTGCTTGTTCTCTGCTGCAGCTCACCAGGTTACAGCAGAGGGTTCATGCTGCTTTGGTCCTAAGGGGTCAGTTAAACAAAGGTGCTCATGGGTGAACTGGCCTCAGCCCACAGCAGCGTGAACCCTCCAGAGCATTTGATGAGCATGATAATAATCAGCAGAAACAAGGATACTTCTCAGAAGGGCCCACAGGAAAAGAAGGAATGGAAATTCATTGTCAAATTTAAAGGAAGGTAGGCAGCAACTACGTAGTTAAAAGGAGCTTCTAGCTGATGACTAGACTGATGCCTGCTAGAACGTACCCCTTTCGTAGGAAAAAGTGAAACCGGTCAGGTACAATTAGTCAGCCCCTAATTTAGAGATGTCCCTTATATACTAATTACCATCCCTTCTGGAAGCCATAAGAGGTCTGAGCTCTTCTTTGCAGATTTTTTTCCTTTTCTGTCTCAAGCTGGGGACTCTGCTACTGCTGGGGAACCAGCCCCATTTCCCCCCATAGTGCTGGGCTCCAATGGCAAACCAGAAGGGGAAAGAGATGGAAATAAAAGGGGGAAGACAGATGAGACTCTAAATAGCTAGCTCCTCTGTACCTGATTCCCTGGTCTTAGTACCAATCCTCTAAACCATGGAGGAGAGAAAGGTTAAGGTGAAGTGAACAGGGTGAGTACATATGTGTGAAAGGTTACTCCAGGGAGGTTATATGAACTCTCTTTAGGCTATGACGGAGGGGAATTCACTCTGCATGAGGGCTGGATTAGGTACACTCCTGATGAATTTATGATTTGCAAACCTGCCTCTGCAGGAGTGTGGCTACCTCTCCTTGGTTCTAATGTACTAACACACATTCTCCCAGCAGTTCTTTCTTGGGAAAGAAATGGGTATAGGACAGTTTGTGTGTGTGTGTGTGCACGTGTGTGGTGCAGGAGGGTTGCATGGAGAGGGAGGAAGGTGGATAGACAATCCCTGCATTCTCCCTTCCTCCCTTCCTTGCATTATACTTCCTTTTCTGGGTCTTCCCTACTTTCTTTACGTAGTATGGCCCCACAAGGCTCCTGACTCATAACCCATGGCCATCACCAGAGAGGCTTGGAAGAGAACCAGGATCTGTTCTTGACCAGCCAAGTTAGAATGAGCAGACTTCCACAGAAAAACCACGTTCTGCAGGTAGAAATGGAACATACGCTCATTTCATTATTATTAGCCATCCCACATGTAATTCACATAGACGATGTGTTAACTTTGGCTCCATGGAGTAGTAACGGTCATTGCTAGATCAGAGAATGAAATCAAAAGCCATCCACCAGGGTCTGCATCCTGGGTCCTTGTTCAGTTCCCTCATTTGCAAAAGGAAATAAAAATTAAATCTACTGCATATTTTTTACGCTAAGGATTGAAAGAGGTAATTGATGCATAGACCTCACACAGTGCTTGGCTCAGTATAAATGCCCACTTCTTGCTGGATGCCATCATCATTACTGTATGGGGCTGATAGCAAAAAGAATTTCCTAAAGACAAGTGATGATGACATGTTTTCAAGCTCATTTCCTGGGCACATACAAAATGCTTCTTTCACATAAAACAAATTGCTGTTCCTTCATCTCTTTAAACATTAGCACCTACTATATGCCAGGCACTGTTCTGGGCACAGAGATACACCTTCGAGTAGAACAGACACATGTCGCTGCACATGAGGAGCTTATGCTCAGTATAGCATGTGCTTTGTTGCCTCGGTGCCAGTGTATGTGGGGCCTGAATGCCTTCTTCACCTGGGAAACTCCTACTTGTGAAATAGCACATTGTTTTCAAAGACTTCTCTAACTTCTGTCACACAAGGCAGATATCTTCTTTTCCTATAAAGCAGTGTGCCTATTGCTATCATGAGTCATTATAATGGGCTGTCACTAAAAAGTTCAGCACTGGTCATTGACATCAGCTCATGAACCCACTGATGAGAGCAGAGTGCATATTATTCATCTGTGTGACCTTGGCATTGGCTGGGCCCCTGGCAGACCCTCAAATGTTTCTGGCAATACCGATTATAATTTATGTGCTTATGTGTTTATCTCTCTCCTCATGCTTCTCAAGGTCAAAGGACCATATCTTACTCCTCTTCGTAGCCCCTCTGCATGGCATTAAGGCATTTAATAAATATTTGCTAAATGAAATAACAAATTAACAAATGCATCTGTCTTCATAAGATGATAAAACTTAAAAAATATCAGAATGTCTGAGGAAGATCAGTCTGAATTAGAGAAGACTATAGAAAAATTTTCAAGGAGTTTGATTTTTACTCTCAAGTACATAGAGTTAACTTGATCCAAACTGAAAGCCAGTTGCCATTAATGAAGAAATAGAATTCATGTGTGATTAACAGGTCCATTTGCATATAAACAATTCGTTTTCTTTTTTTTTTTTTCCAGGACTTTTCTAGCAATATCAAAATCCAGTCAAGATATATTTCCTTTTGTTTTTATTTTAACATTTATCAATTTTTTTTTACATTTTTTAGACAATATTTGCTTCCCCCTCTTCTTCTTCTTTTTAAATGATTCAGCAAATATGTAATGGGTGCCAGTAATCTTAGGAGTCATTATTTACACCTCCCTATTTCTTATGTCTTATATTCAATCTATCAGTACCTCTGATTTTTTCTTCCCTTTAATTATTTTTCCACCTTTTTTTGTCACACAGTGCTTGGCTCAGTATAAACGCTCACATCTTGCTGGATGTGATCATCATCACTATCATCGCTTTACCACCACCTCTACTCAAGAATTCACAAATAGCTTACTAACTGGTCTCTTCTTTGATATCCGCTCCTGAAACCGTTCAGGCCATTTTCTTTTTTTACTTCTTTTTTTTTTTTTTTTAAATTCCCTCCACCAAACCACCTATACTCCTTTGGTTTTACAAGATCAATTCTCCCAATTTTGTTAAGCAAGCAGTTTCTCAGATGCACAGTTTAGCAACCTGGGAATGCATGCGCCAGGGCTGCCCTCCAGCATCATTTTTAGTAACATCACCTACAGTGCACCAGCTTGTCTGTGGTTTTTAAAAAATAGGCAGAGAAGAGTTTGCGAGTCACCAGGTTGACTGTTTCTCTGCCACAAGTTCTTTTTCCAAGGTCAGATCAAAATGCATTTCAGTTCTAAATGAATGGAAGTTAACCAAGTTTATAAAGTGGAAGTGAGTAGAGATGTGGGAGCTCTTCTTATGACTTTGATGACACTGTGTCACCTGGACCAGATAAGAAGCAAAGGGAGGCAGGGGCAGCTAGCCAGCTCATCACTCATATTTACCAACAGCCCATTATGTGCTGGAGCTGTTCTGAGTGCCAGTGATAAAGCAGGATATAAGGGAGTCACACTTCATATAAAGTTAAGATGCCCAGTCATACTTCCATGTGCATCTTTGATCCTTCTACCCACACTTCTGATCCTGTCCCAGGGTTGTAAACCACTCCCATAAATATTCCAAAGATCTCCAAATCCATGCCCTCGGCCATCTTGGAGCTAATGCACTTACTAGAGAGGGAGACAAACAATTCCCAAAACAAGTATGAGATCACTTCAGCTACTGATAAAGGCAATGAAGACACAGTAAGATTAATGGAAGAAATCAGTGGAGGTGGCTGGTGGTGGTGGTGGTAGGAGAGCTGCATTAGCCAGGGTGGGGAGGGAAGGTGAGTTCAGCAGAATGATGCATGAGAAGGCAGCAGGGGCAGATCTCAGGGAATGATGTTCCAAGTAGAACACCAAATACAATATTCCTGAGATAGGGAACAAGTTTGGCGAGTCTGAGGGCCAGAAAGAAGGCCTGAGGGTTTGAAGAGCTTTAACTACAGAACAAAGGAAGAAAAAGATGAGGTCAGGAGGGAAGGCAGACACTAGGTCTGGAGGTTCTTGCAGGGAGGCTGGATTTTATTCTGGTTGCAACAGAAGTCATGGGAGGACTTTAAACAGAAGAGAAAGAGTTGAGATCATTTTGACTGCTATAAGGGAGAGGGACTAAGGGGGCCAATTCAGGGAGGCCAGCTAGGAGGAGGCTGTCTCTCACTGATCAAGGCCGAGGTGGGAGAGTTGGGAAGAAGTCACTGCACGTAGGAGAGACTCCCATCTAGAGTGGACAGAGTTTTGCTGACAGATTGAGTGTGTAGGGTAAGAGGAATCTGGGGCAGGGAGGTGGTGACCTTGACCCCCACTGATCTTACCAAAGACTTTGAGGTGGATGGACGCGTCCTGCTCCCCGGCCTTGTTCTCGGCGATGCAGACATACTCAGCCTCGTCATTCTTATCCACCTTCCTGATGGTCAGCTCAGAACTATCATCGCTGAAGAAGTACTTCTCGTCTTCCTCATTTTCGATCTGTTCCCCATCCCTACAGGGTGCAGAAATGCAAAGTACAATGATTTTGACTGAAGAGTTAAGATGCTTTATTTTTGTTTATGTTGGTAACGTGCAGACTGAGTGCATGAGAAAGAATTGGAAGAAAGTAAAGATGCCAAGTTGTTTTTCCATGTGTACCTTTGATTACTCTACCCCACCTCTGGTTCTGTCCCAGGGCTATAAACTGCTTCCATAAAAATTCAAAGAGGTCCTCCAAGTCCATGTGCTCTGGTTGTGACCCCCCAAAACTGAAAATGAAGGACTCCAAGGCACAAGGCAAGAGAAGCTTATAGAAGAGTCCATTATGCCCTAGAGCTGATCTTCCCAAGCAGCCCATCCCTGCCACACGTGGCAGCCCCCAGCATGTTCCCTTCTCTGCTACTTGTGATAATAGGCACTGGCCAGTTTCTTACTTTGTCCAGCTCATGGTGGGCTCGGGGAAGCCTTCAGCATCGCAGACCAGGGTGACAGATTGGCCCAGGTTGGCGGTGGCATTCACTATGCTCTGCCTGGCTTGCACAGTGGGTGGCACTGAAGGAAAGAAGGACAGTCAGGGGGGCTATGAAGATCAGAAGAACCAGTGGCCTGGAGAAGAAGCACCCCCAGAGGGAACCCAGGTCAGAGGGTCCCAGCCTGGCATCAAGAGTCTGGGGGGCTGTGGTTAGTGTAAGGGCTCAAAATTCATGTGTGTGCTAAATAACTACTGTGAGCTGAATAAATAATTCACCCACAGACCTACATTCATGTTTTTCAACCATCTATAATAATATTGGTTTTCAGTGACACAGCTCTAGGAGCTATATTAATATTGAATATATTTTATTCATTTTAAAATGGCATTCAATATATAGCAGCCCTTTATCATCCTATATTTTATTAGTCAACAAATCCTAAACTTAAAAAACTACCAAAGTTGGCAGAACTTGAGATCAAAAGGGGTTTTTCATACTGGAAAATGTTCAAAATTTCTGCTCCTGGTGGTTACAGGGTTAATACCAATTTGACTCATCAAAGAGTGACATTTCTCTGGATTGTCCTCAATGTCCCTGGACACAAGCTGTTTTCACCAAAGGTATGAGAGGAGGAGACTATGGCAAAAAAATACATATCAAGAGCCAAAACAATTCAACCATGATTTATTTATTTTCTTAGTACTGACATTATAATTTCCTATAAACATCTTGTAAATGCCAGATCGATTCTGCGGGTGTGTTTATTTGACACTGCAAATTAAGATTAATAAACACATGAACCATGATTCTGACTATTCTGAGGCTGGAATTGATTATAATATTTTTGTTGAACATTGAACCAGGGGACTAACTTCACAATTACGGTAACATCAAGGACGATGAAGGATGAGTAAGAATTTACTATGAAGCACAGGGAAAGTGACTCAAGGCAATGGAGGACATTCAAGACTTGTACGATAAATCCCCATAGTCTAGGGAGACCCAATATGCAAGTGTATTTTAAAAAAAAAAGCCAGAGGCTACATGGTGTATGTGTATGTTTGTGTGTGCATGTGTGTGTGTGTACTTCATCTGAAGCAGGTGTCTAAGTCAGGACAAGATTTATTTTATAGACCAAAGAGGACAGTAGAGAAGGGCTATAGAGAGCCAACGTGGTAGCCGTGGAGAGAGTAGGAAGAACAGATTGCCTCACCGTTCACAATGACCTGAATGTCCTTGAAGTTGATCTCCCCCCGTGCCAGGATCCTGCCCTCACAGCGGTAAGTGCCCTCATCAGTTTTCTTGATGCCCCGGATCTGCAGGTAGTTGTTGGATAGCACTATGAATCGAACTAGGAGAGACAAGAGGCAGGTTCATCCACGATCAGTCTGAGAACTCTGCAGTGTGAAAGCAGGTAGCCAGGCCTTCTCTTTCCCTATGGGGTGGGGTTTTCAGCTGAAATAAGAAAATGTGTCCCTGGCTCTAACATATAGTCAACGGCAAAAATCTATTAGAACGTCATCTTTTGGGTGAGAAAGTGGTACCTAAATATGCAAGCTACAGACATCCATCATTCGGGATCTGGAAACCATATGTGCTTCTGGAATCTAATTTTGGGTCAGAATTCCTTAGGGGCTGGCAGAGGGGGACACTTAGGAGATTTGGGAGCCAGAGAATTCAGGTCTCACCATCTTTTTTCAGGATGACATCTCGGCCTTTGTGTTTCCAGATGATAGTTGGGGGCAGGGAGCTGACCACGTCACACACGATCACAGCGTCTTCCCCCTCCCTGAACTCCTGCGGGGTTGGTGCATTCTTGAACATGAGCTTCTCTGGAAAATAAGCAAGAGAAGAGTGAGGGAAACAGATGGGACTCCCATGAAGATTCCTTCTCACTGCAATATGCTACCTGGACTCGAGTCCTGGGCTACTCCTAATCTGTATATATCGTGATACAAGAGGGTTCCCACCCAGTTCTTGCACAAAGATGCCAGGGGCACAGGTATTGGGACAAGTCATCAATGTTTAGTAGTCAATGTCTAGTCACTGAGGGCTAATTTTTATGCAGAAAAATACCTATGGAGGGAAAGGAGTGTCTTTACCAAGGGTCCCTTCCCATGTGGAATGAAACACCATGTGCAGGTAGGATGAATTAGTACTTATTCTACAATGAATAGGAGGAGACATCAGTCCTTGCCTTTTTCACCCTGTCCGGTACCCTGCCTCAATTTTCCTACAGCAGAAAGGATTCTGAAGAACATCAGAAAAGAAAAGCCGGCTTCAAGGCAATAAAAAACAGTGGCGATCAATACTGTTCTAGTCGCTGTCACCCGCCATCACCCTGGCCGCTGCAAAAGATGCATAATCACAGCACCTCGGTGGCGGCAGGAGCTGCCTGTGCTGAGTGATCCAGAGGGTTTGGTCATTTTTCCCCCACTGGCCAAGCCTTCGGGCTTCAATACCCATGGGGGAGAGTGCACTAAGAAGGGAAAACCTGAACTGTACAAATCCCCATCAGGGAAGAGATGGGGGAATCCATAAGCGCCCTCTGATAACTGTATCATCTGGAGAATGGGGGTGAGAGGGAGGTAGCTGTGGCCAGCATGGGCTGGGGTTTTGAGTTCTGAGCGGTCAAGGATCATTTAAGAACATATACATAGCTTCACTCTGAAACGACTTTGGCAGAAGAAAAGGGGAGAAGGGAATTTGGAAGTGCTCAACCACTCGCTCTACTGCCACCCCTCTCTGTCTGCTGTCCAGGTGCCTGCCTGACCAAAGGAGAGGGCAGGGGATAAGGAGAAGGAAGAGGTCTTACGGAAGATCTTCACATTGACCGTGGCCTCCGACTCACTGCCGTCCTCGCCGGTAACCACACACTTGTAAATGCCCGCGTCGTCAATTTTGGCGTTGTAGATGGTGAGTGTAGAAGAGGAGTCGTCATTCCATACCACTGAGATCCGCTGCTGGTTTGGGGTGAGCTTTTCTCCATTGGGGGAGAACCAGGAGATGTCTTTATCTTTGGCATCGCCTGCCACTGAAGAGGAAGAGATCATTTTCAAACCACTGAAGTTGAAAAGAGAGAGTCCTCTCTAGAGTGATGGTGGGGGGCTCAGAACTACTGAGCAAGAGATCACTGAGCCTCGTGATCAGGGATAGATGACCTATTATGTTAGAAAGTTATGCAGCTGGTCTCTAGCTTCTGTGTTCAGGTGTTAGGTACAAAATATCACTTAGAGTGTTTAAAAAGAACACAAAAGAAAACTCAATCAAAAAAATGGGCAAAAGATCTAAGCAGATACTTCTCCAAAGAAGACAGTGATGGAGATGACCTCTAGGTGCATGAAAAAGTGTTCATCACTTATTTTTTTTTTAAAGATTTATTTATTTCTTTATACAAGAATGGGATGACAGGCCAGATTCGCGGGAGGGTGAGAGGATTCACCAGAGATAGAGTGGGGAACAGAACAGGCAGACTGATGAAATACACTGCTGAGGGGAGCAGTGGGCGTGACAGGAGGGGTCTGCCACACCCTGTGGGACCCTCGCCCGCTGGCCAGGATCGAATCGGTGCTGCAGAGGCTGTGGACAGCTTCACAGCGCTGCGCTCAACCGCCTGTGCCACCAGGGGAGGCCCTCATCACTTATTATTAAGGAAATGTGAATCAGAACCACAATGAGACATCAATTTACCCCCGTGAGAACAGCCCATATCAAAAAGAGTGGAAACAAAAAATGTAGGTGAGGATGTGGACAAAAAGGAATCCTTGTGTATGGTTGGTGGGAATGTAATTTGGTACAATCTCTATGGAAAATGGTATGGAAATACCTTAAAAAGCTGAAAATGGAAATACTAGATTGATCCAACAATCCCATTGCTAGGTATTTCTCCAAAGAATATGAAAACTTCATTATGAGAAGATTCATTCCACTCCTTGCTGTGTTCATAGCAGCGTTATGCACTACAGCCAAGACATGGAACCAACCTAAATGCCCATCGACAGGCAACTGGATAAAGAACTTGTGGAATATGTACTCCATGGAATACTACTCAGCTACTAAAAAAGATGAAATAGAGCCTGGGGCACAAAATGAATGGATCTTGAGATGACTATGCTAAGTGAAAAAAATCAGAAAGTGGAAGACAGATACTGATGGTTTAACTTATTTTTGGAATATAAATGACCAAAGAATATATTATTTAGGCAAAATACAGCAAAAACAATTCTTAGACTCTGTGAAAAATATACTGGTTTTTAGAGGAAACAGTGGGGGAGGAAGTAGGCAGAGGGAAAAGGGACAGGTCATTAGCATGAAAGTATTGGTGGAGGGTGGATGAAGCATGTGCACATAAGCAGGGGTGAAAATACCCCCCAAAGTTATATAGACATGCAAATGACTGACGAATTAATAAAAAATAGAATAAAAAGAGCTTGACAACCACTTGTGTTAGTAGGTCTCATAGTGGTCCTATCTTAAGTGAAGAACAAGAGGGGGTATTTGCTGAGGACCTACAGTTTGCCAACACTTAAGCTGGGAGTTTGCAGCCTCACAGAACAGGAGACTAAGGGAGTTAGCATACGTAGGATCTGAACATAAAGGCCTAGTTGATTAACTGCTTTTGAGGGCTTTGATGCCAGTCTCCCGAGTAGAAGAAGACACCCCAGCCATTTTTATTCTAACATCTGCCTGCACAAACCAATATGTCATTCCAGCACCCCTGCCTCAGACAGAAAATTCATCTGCTTAAGTGTGGCAAAGTAGGTGGCCAGTCATCCCCTCCTTATCTGGCACCTAGGAGGGGCAGGTGCCAGGTGCTGCTGCTAGCTGTCCAGACTCTGTGCTGAAATTGGGTAAAGGGCTGGATCCAGCGGACATGGCTTCGTCCTGCCTCTCTGCATGGTGCCCTTCCCCGGCCGGCGCCACCCAGCCCTACACAGATGCTTAGTATGGAAATGAAGCAGTCTTTCTTTCAGAGACCATCATGTTTTCAATAAATATCGCTATTTGCAAGATGTGCTGTGGGCTCCACGGCTGCATCTCCAGATCATTTAAATTGCGGTAATGAAGGCAAAGCTGGAGTGAACACATCCGGAGGCCACAGCCACCTCATCCAAAGCAAATCACGAGAGCTTTTAAAGGCCCCTCCCTGCCAAAAGCTGCTCGCGAAATGTCACAGCTTACACCTAGCTCAGCTCTTTCCTGGTTCTTCCCTGTTCCAAATCCCCCGCGTGTTACAGACAGAGAATCCAAGGCCTAATTGGAAGGCTTTTCCTCCACAGGACAGTTTTTGATAATTATCTGGGCTGTGGGAAGGGACCATCATTTCTAAACAAACCAAGGACACTGAGTCTGATGAATCCCAGCATTTGGGTGGGGGCCACGGGAGGGGATATTGGTTTTCACAACAGATCTAGAAAACCCAGGATCTGTGTCCTCACAACAAAAGCGATCATTTTCTTTCAGGCAAGGTTTAGACCTTCTTGGATTTCCCAGCTTTGGGGGATTCTAAGAAATAATCCTTACAGTGACCCACTGAAGCGTGCTTGCTGAACTCGCTCTGTGCTCCCCTGCTCTTTGCAGGCGCTGAGGGGACCAGGCCCTGTTCTGGGAGTCGTGCTGCATCTCCTAGGAAAATCCCTAACCACCTGGAAGACCCCACAAGGCATTACCCTGGGTAGGGACAGCTTTTAGGACAGGAGGGCGGAGGGTCTGTAAGCTTCCGTGGCTTTCAGGTCAACACCAAGGATTCTCAGCAGAGTGTGAGCCAGGTGCACACAGCCACTGCGTCTGCTCTGCCTGATGGTTTCAGGCCAATTTCCTGCCATGCGGTGGGGCATCGGGTACTTGCCTTGACACAAGAAGAATTTGGACTCTCCCACGCTGATTTCTCCTTGGCTGGGAACAATATCCACCTGCAGAGAAACTGAAAAACAAAACAGAAGTTTAAACACACATTTGGGCTACCGAGAAGGAAAAAACCCAGGGCTCTCACACCAAAATGGGGTCTCCAGGCTTATTTTAAGCAATAGTGAGGGGAGGAGGCTGTCGCCACCAGAGGTCCCTCATACTGATTGCAGGTGTGGACACAGTCTAGATCATTCTCTGTGGAACTGCTGCCTCCAATTAGCTTGTGCAAGGCCAGAGATCTTGGGTGACCTCTGTCTGAAATGCTTCCAACCCCTTGAGAAGGCTGTGGTATGCTCCAAATAGCCCCACTTCTGGGATTCACAGCAACAGCTGCACCGACTGGTTATGTCTGGCCATCAACTTCAGTGTCCCCATGCTGGGGTCCTGGGAGGGCTGCCCCTCCAGGACTCAAGGGGGTCTCCTGCCTGTTCGCCACAAGTGCTCAGAAACCATGGAGGAGTCCACACAAAGCCCCGATCTGATCTGGAGCAGAGGATGCTTCCACACACAAAGCAGCTCACTCAGGCCACAGGACCAATGAGCTTCTTTCCTTAAGAGAAACAGCCTCAAACACCATCACCCGGATCAGTCAGCCCCACCTCTGAGGCGGTGTGGGCTGTGCCCTGGGGAATTCCCTGCACTCCTTGGCAATGTGCACAGAATTTTTACTAGAATCTCCATATGCTCTAGCACTCCACTCCACCCATAAGACGAAATACCTCGCACCGGTCCTCAGGTGCCTGGACTCATGCAGTTCCTCATTTACCTGCCAGGAGCAGATAAGCAACCGATCCTGATGAAAATACAGTAATAAGCGAGGGGAAAAATGGTTTTATTCATTTGGATTCCACTCCCTTCTGCCTCTCCTCCTCATAGGTAGAGCACATCTGAAGGCCGAGGCTAATGGACATTTGGGTCAAAGCATGTAGCTTCCTAACACCGACACGAAGCAGGGGCCCAGACAAAAGAGTCGGGTAACAGAGACTCAGGGAGCCCTTCCTCAGAACAGCCATTTTCTCTTCACAGTAGATGGAGGGAGAGCGCGTTGCCATGGTGACTGACTTGCAGGCAGAGCTGCTGCAGGTCTCAGTGAAGGACCACAGTTGTGCTCAGCAGAACTGAGGGATCAAAGGGCTGCTGGGGGCCGGGAAGGGGGAGGTGGGGGCAAGCGAGCTCCTGGGGTGCAGCCTCCCAGCCATCGACCCATAGACAAAGCAGCAGACCAGGGAAGAACCCAGCCGAGGCTGCAGAGAGAGACTGGAATGAAAAGGGAAGGAGAGAGGATGGGGTGAGGAGTCAGGCACAGGACAGAGGCAGGAGAGGACACTGAACTCTGCACTATGAGAATAAGAGGCAGAGCTCAGAGATGCCCAAATGCAGGTCTGAAAGCAAAGTGATAGTAATGGTGGCCTCTGCCTCACTGGGTCTGCTGCTGGTTGTTCATTTGGGGCTCAGGATGGAATTCTTCCTGAGGGCAATGCAAGGCCTTCTCCTATATTTCCTGTTTCACTGGCCGAAAGCACGCAGAGCTGTGATAGAAGACAGTGGTGCCCTGGACAGGCCCCGGCATCCTGGACACAAATGTGACCAACTGTAGCTGCTTTCCTGTCACTCTCCTCCAGGTGGCACCGAGTTTGGGTACCACTCAGTCCTGACCTCAGGGTGCAGGAGGGGCCTCAGTCATCACCTGTCCTACCTCCTGGAGTGACTTTCCTGTGGTCACTTCTAGTTCAGGTCAGAGCCCAGGCCACCAGGCTCCCAGTAAATGTCCTTTCCATGATGCAAGGCTGCTGCCTCTGTGACTGAGAGATAAAACGTTTCCATTTGGTTTGGGAAATAACCTGGTGAGCCTGAGGACCACTTCTGGGAAGCAGCATCCCTCACAGAACAGCCTTGATACACCATGGTCTCTGGGGAGCAGGGCCTCACAGGGAGGGCTGCAGGCCGGTGCCCTCTGTTGTCCAGCCAGCCGGAACTATATGACTGCGGGTCACCTGCCACGGAACCACGCTGAGGCTGTGTGCGCCGTCGGTCACCCTAGCCACGGCCCTTCCACGAGGGGACTGTGCTTTCTTTAGAGAATTAGAGGCACATTTCTCCCTGGAAAGTTCCCTGACCATATGCTGAGCATTAGCAGCCCATTGGACATATGGATTCTGTTACCACCACAGAGCCCTGATGGCTTTGAGAAGGCTATTCTTACCCCAAGTGAAAGAACAGCCTTCACTTTTTCAGTTTTTTTCAAACACAACATGATTCTCAAGGGACAGGAGAGCCCGGCATGGCTGAAGAGTCTTTGTACCCAAATGTGGCCAGAATATCTCTCTGGGCCATGGAGAGAAAATGCAAAATGAGAAATTCAAAGGAGTTTCCAGCCTCACCAGACCCCACACGCACACTCATCATCACAGAGGTTTTTCAAGGAAGAGATATTCATTCCGACTCCTGACCTTTAGCACACACAGAAAAGATCGAGATTCTCCCTCAAAAGGCCAGAGTCAAAGCTGGGCCAGAGGAGACCCCAGACTCTGGAAATCAATGCTTGGATGAGCTCCACCTCAGCACAATGGCTGATTATTCTGCGCACACAAAACCTTGACTTACTAGCTTAAATAATGGCTAAGTGGAAATCTGCTCCAGACTCCTACACTCCACTCCTTGCTGCTCCTTCCTTTCTTACTCTGTCAGTACTTTTGTCATTTCCAAAAAAATTTCTGCCTCAGCTTTCTCCAGTTGTAGACACCCGAGAATTCCTAACCAGGCATCACTCAGACCTTTAGATAAACTGATGGAAACATTCTTCCCAGAGAAGGAGCTCATCTCCTGCTCTGCACAAATACTTTCTGCACAAAAACCGTGTTATCATCCTTCACGTCAGATGCATCCAGAGACTCAGGCTTATGAAAGCAGGCATTTGGCCTTGGGTGGGGGGACCTGTTCAGGGCTAACACCCTCTCCAACCGGTGTTCTCAATGTCCTCCAGGGAGAACTCACCCTCCACGGCTTGCTGCATCTAATTCACACCTTTTGGTTTGCAAAGCCACATGGCGCAGCAGACCTCTCCTGTCTCGCCCGCTGCTCCCCTCAGCAGTGTATTTCAGTCAGTCTGCCTGTTCTGCTCCCCACTCTGTCTCTGGTGAATCCTCTCACCCACCACACCTTTGGCCTATACCCCAGTTCTTGTATGCATAAATAAATCTTTTAAAAAATAAAATTACATATTATTTTAATCACACGGAGTCCTAGAAAGAATATATAAGTTCATACATTATGATACTTTTTAAATTAAACTTTATTTTCTTACATTGTTGTTCATTTTTGCATGACATCTGATTTCTCCCCTCAGGTCATCATAGTCCCCATAAATCTCCCACCACCACATCACCTGTGAATCATCACCACAGTTCCTTGTACTCTTCCCTTCCCTGCAAAACACACTTCTTATTTCACCTCATGCTCACAACAGTTCTGAGAGAGAAGAAGGCCAACATAATTGTCTTCATTCTCCTCAAGAGGAAATTAAAGCTCAGACAAATGAAATATCAATCCCAGGGTAACTCAGCCTATGTGTGGTTAAGTCAGGATTCAAGGTCATCTAATTCTGAAGAGCCAACTCTTCTGCCTGCGCACCACGACTACTACTGGCCTCTTGTTGGCCTTCCAATAAGCTCATTCTCACCTATTAGCTGCCATTCGCTCTTTCCAAATTAGGGACTGGAAAGAGCAGAGTATGCAAAAATCAAGTTGCTGTTGTCATTTCTACCCTGGCTGACTGTGCCTGTCCTCTTTGCTCACCAGACGGTCACAGTATTTTAGCCCCTTTTTTACAGGTGGGAAAATGGAGGCTCAGAGCCATAAGTAATGGCCTTGGTGGGGGTCAAGATTCAAACTCAGGTTGAATGGCCACCTGAGGTCAAGTAATTTATCCCATGCTATTCTATCCCTTGGGGATTCTGTTGAGAGGGAATGATCTCCCCCACTCCTCATCTCATTTAAAAAGTAAAATAACTCTGTGGGAGATTTATATGTTTTAAATGTGTTTTCTGTTTAAATGTCTTAAAAAAATCAGTGCTATGTTTAGAAAAATATACCAACTTATTCAGCAAACAGCTTCAGGTGTAGATAAGAAGTTTTGTAACTCTCAAATCCCAGGCAGAAGCAAGCTATAAAGTTTTAGTTGCTAAAGAAAAGGGAATTAAATTTTCAGTTCATAAGATGCTAAGGCACTTATCAGAAGTGGTGGGAATCTTACTAAGGCAAAGCAACTGAGACAAATTATTCTGATTTCAAAAGGAGCTCACAGATTTCACTTGAGTCAGCAACTTCTCCAGCAGTTTAATTTTACTGGTGTTCTTTTCAAATTCTAATGTGCTTGAGGAGGTAGGGGTTGAGAAAAGAAAAGTGAGCCCAGGTCTCCCCCATGGCTAATTGAAAATACTTTCATGTTAAGAGGTTATGAAGACATTGCTGCCAAGGAAGACAAGTTACAGGCACGAGAGGGCTGTCACCCATGTGAGATGATGTCCTGGCGACCAATTTAAGAGATGGCAATCAACTCCTGAGATTAATTTGAAAAGAGACTAAGCATGAGATGAAGGAATTTTCTAGAACCTACTTAATAGCCACTAAAGATTTTTGAAAAAGGCATCAGATTGTTGCTATACATTGATTTTGCTAGCTATTGTTCTAGAAACAAGCCTTCAATTTCACTTGAATGGAGCATTTACCACTTCAATGGAGACTTGTTTTTGAAATTATAAACAAATGCTAGAGTCTCTTTCCTTTGACATGTACCTGTGGGAAATCCAGGTGTCTGAACCAAAAGAATGATAATGGAGGCACCTGTCTCCACTTGCCTGCAACAGTTTGGGGTCAAAGGACTCAGGGGAAAATAATGGGCATCTTTCAGGCCAAACATACACACTCAGTAATGGTAAAACTGATGCTATTGTGGCAATACTACAGAATGGTCTGGGCCACGCTGCTGAATGCGAACCCGAGCTTCATCACTCATGT